GTGTCAATCATGAATGGTAAGATTTTGGTACAGGTACTCTTAAGTTGAGAACCACCTTGTGTGATACCTATGTTGTTTAGATGTCAGGGTTCACTTAATGATCTGTATTTTATTTTATTAAAGAAGGTCTTGTCATATTTTAAACAGAGGACCTTGTAATATTACATATTTTAACATAGAAAACTCACCTATTGTTATAAAATAGATTTATTATTATTTATAGACAATTATTATGTTATATGGGTTGTATTGAAGAGTTTACTATTTTTGTCCAGATATACAAGTTCCTGCTATTATTATTTATACTATCATTTCTGGTAGAGACCGACCGAAAGTGATTTTCTGATTTCGGCCGAAGCCGAAAATAGGCCGAAAGTTTAAAATGACTTTCGGCCGAAACCGAAAAAATACCGAAAGTTAAAAATGAATTTCGGCCGAAACCGAAACCGAAAAAGAAATATTAAGATATTTTGAAATTCGTTCCCGCATACATTCTGCTTACATCGAAAATGATGTGGGAAAATATAAATATTTACATTCTTTTTATAAAAATGAGATAATCGTAAATATTAATAAATAAAAATCTAATTTAGGGTTCTCAAACTCGCGGCCAGCGAGCCATTTGTGACCCGCAAGACGATATTTTGCGGCCCGATACACGACAGAAAAGTTTAGTGTAAATTCGCCGGCCCGTTTCCCCCATTCTCATATATATAACGTGACTCTCCGCGACGGTTTCAGTCGAATCTCACCGACTAATCTAATTCTGATTTTTTTTTTTTAATGTCTCTATATATTTGTATGCCAGCTCTCTGGCAACAGTGAGTAGGTGGATGAAAGTGAATCCTAGTCCTTGAGAACCCTTAATGATTTTTTTTAAATTTATAAATATTGACCAGCTGTAACAGTTGTAATCGCTTTTTTGTGGATTACTTGATGAGCCCACTCTCATTCAGACACTACCTCCTGCGCCCCCCCCCCCCCATAATTTGAGTTTGATACTCTTGATCTAATGAATACTTTGGATTTTACCATTTTAATATAAAACTAATTTAAATTGATTTACATTTTTTTTTTTCAAATTTGTATGGTAGGAGAAAATTTGGCAGAAATTGAGGGGTGGGGGGAGGAGGGGAAATTAATGCAAAATATTATTTTTTTGAAAGCGGGTCTCTAAAAAAATGTGGTTCTAAAAGATCACTTAATTTGTTCTTAAAGATCGCTTAGTTTGTTCTTAAAGATCGTTTAGTTTGTTGTTAAAGATCGTTTAGTTTGTTTTTAAAGATCGTTTAGTTTGTTTTTAAAGATCGTTTAGTTTGTTGTTAAAGATCGTTTAGTTTGTTGTTAAAGATTGTTTAGTTTGTTGTTAAAGATCGTTTAGTTTGTCGTTAAAGGTCCTTTAGTTTGTTCATAAAGATCGCCTGATTTGTTGTTAAAGATCGTTTAGTTTGTTCTTAAAGATCGCATTAGTTTGTTGTTAAAGATTGTCTAGTTTTTGTTAATGATCGCTTTATTTGTTCTTAAAGATCGTTTAGTTTGTTCATAAAGATCGCTTAGTTTTTTGTAAATTCGCTTAGTTTTTTCATAAAGATCGCTTAGTTTGTTCTTAAAGATCTTTCAGTTTGTTTTTAAAGAACATTTTGTCTTCTGTTAAAGATCGCTTAGTTTATTCTTATAAATCATTAAATATCATTTGTTTTGTTCTTAAAGATCATTTAGTTCGGTCTTAAAAATAGTTAAGTTTGTTCTTTAAGTAAGATCGTTTAGTTTGTTATTAAAGATCGCTTAGATAGTTCTTAAAGATCGCTTAGTTTGTTTTAAAGATCGTTTAGTTTGTTCATAAATGTAGTTTAGTTTGTTGTTAAATATCATTTAGTTTGTTCTCAAAGATCGCTTAATTTGTTCTTAAACGTCGCTTAGTTTGTTGTAAAATATCGCTTTCGCTTAGTATTAAATGACCGAAAACCTGAGTAACTTTCGGCCGGATGGCCGAAAGTCTAAGTCAATTTCGGCCGAAACCGAAGAAAAACCGAAAGTTAACTTTTCTCTTTCGGCCGAAACCGAAATTAAGCCGAAAGTTAACTTTCCAGTTTCGGCCAAAACCGAAACTTGGCCGAAAGTGATAAAATGGCCACTTTCGGCGCCGAAACCGAAGCCGAAGCCGAAATTCGTTCGGCCTCTAATTTCTGGGTTTGATTGAAGAGTTTACTATTTTTTCCCCAGAGATTCAAGGTCCTGATAAACCCCCTCCACCCCACCCAATGTATGAAACAGAGCTTAAGAAGCTGTATGGTATGTAAGACCCATTATTATTACAAATAATTACATTTCCAATGCATTTGATCTTTATCTTTTAAGATATATGAAATATACTGATTGAGCAATCATTGTGTCTGATTCTTCATGCCTCTATCAATTGAAACTGTATTGTGTCACACATGACATCCAAATAGTATAGTAAATTAGGCTCTCTTGATCCTTAATGTAGTCAATGTGGTTATTAATAATTGTACAATAATGTTACACAAGTAGTAAACAAGGTAAATGAGAGTTAGATATAGAGATATAGGAGCCATAATGATCAATACCTTCAAATGTAGAAGAAAAATATTCCAATTAATTTTTAGAATTACTGACCTCTATTCAAATGTTCCTCTTTAACAACAGTTTGGTAATAATTTAATATATATTATATATACATATATCGTTTTTAAAATCAGTGTGTGAAACAAAAATGAGAGAGCGATTTTATGCATCTAAATTTCCTCATTTAAAAGTAGGTCTAAAATCTGTTTTCAATCTTCCTATCAGAACCAGAGTGCAAGGTAGAGTTTTTGGAGCGTGGAGAGAGAAAAGTTTATGGCAAAGATGTTCACACAGCTATTTATAATATTTACAAATAACCTTTTTTAATGCAATATTTTTTTTAAAAAGTTAATACATTTTTTAAAATTGAATTGTCTTTTGCCAAAATTACATTTTATAATTCATTGAATGTGCAATTAAAATTTTTTTTAAAACTTGCTATTGCTTTTTTTTCATATGAATGATTTTTACAAAAATATTTTCAGAATTAGAAACCATCATGATAACAGGCTTATTATTGTGCTGTTGTTTATCATTAAAAGTACTTAATAATCTTAAAAGTTGTCATGCTGTAATCTGTAATTTTTTCCTAATTCCACATTGCTATTTTTGTCTTTGAAACACGAATAACTATATTTAGTCTCATGTGCAAAAGTATTAAGTTTATAAATGAACTGATCCGTTTCAGAAGTATCCTTGTGAAGATTTTATTTATAAGAATGTTGTTGAAAACTTGCTTTTGTTGGGCTGTTCACTAAAATAACATAAAAAAAGCTGTTATTATAGCCAAAGAAAAATATGGAGCAAGAAGGAATTGATTTATAATTTTTGAAAAGTTTAAAAGGAAAAAAAAAAGACCTGAGAAAACTGACCTTAAAAAATACAAATGTAAGACTCTGAATTTCATTTGCTGGGTTGTTCAAAAGAAAATATATATGACATTCTTCCATCTGTTCAAGACGATGGAATAGCTATGTACACTTCAACGAATGGCTAACTAGACCGATCCTGGAATGGCAGTCTCGGCTGCATTTCTTGAAGGAGATTCTTGAATTCTGGTAAGATTGGTCTTCCATATAGTTCTTTTTGTTGCAAGAGCTTAGTTTCACGCATCTTCTGCCTTTTTGACTCCTTTGTACACTGCAATTTGCAAGCTGGAACTTTGCTCAGCAATGATCTCCCATTTGTTGATTTCTATGTTGGCTTCCCTCATGCTTCTTTCGCAAACATACAAAAAATTGCAGCCGTGGCCGTCCAATAAGTCTTCTCCGAACTCTCCATACAGCAGCTTCTTTGGAATACGGCCTTCCTCCATTCTTCTTACATGACCTAACCAGCAAAGGCACCTCTTGCTAAGAGCGGAGAGTGTGCTACACATTTTGCATGTTCCAAGGCCTCTGTGTTAGGCACCTTGTCCTGCCATCAAATGCATAAAATTCGACCCAGACATCTTTAATGGAAGATGTTAGTTTTCGCTCATGACTGGCATATGTGGTCCACACCTCACTGCCATATAGCTGCGTACTAAGCACACATGCCTGATAGACACTTAGCTTTGTACTATCAGTTAGATTGAGATTATTCTACACCTGCTTATTCAATTTAGCCATAGTTGCTGCTGCTTTTGCTATTCTGATGTTCGTCTCTTCGACCACGGAGAGAGAACTAGATATATTGGATCCAAGGTATGTGAAATTCTCAACAACTTTCTATTATTGCTATTTAATTTACCAATGCAAAGACAAATTTTTTTCATTTCTAATTTGAAGCATGTACTGATGTATTTTTATGTATATTTTGTAATGCATGTTGCATTGAACATTTATAAGAAAAAAAATAAATTTAGAATTAGAATGAAATCTTTTTAGGTGAAACAAATATGTGACTGTATCTCTTTCTGCTAATCAAATGTTCCACACAAGTCTTTGACTACCATAATGTATTGTTCAAGAAAATATTACAAGCATCGAAATGGAATGTAGATTGGTTATTAATATGTTGGGTCTGAAACAACAGAGCTATGTTATGTTTTATTGATGTGAGACACATATTTGCACTGATTGCCTGAATGTGTGCCTTGTTATATTTTTAAAAAAAATATTTTATTTCTAGATTTGAAAATTAAAATGTGCTATTTTGCAATTGAAATAAATTTTTCTATTTTTATAAAAGACAAACTAACTCACAGGTATGTGTTTAGCTGCAAAAAATAATCGATGTGAAATAATATGATGAATTAACTATAATTTAAAAATCACCTTTCTGTATTAAAAGTTAATTTACTAATAGTTTATCACTCTTATCACTCTGTTTTATATTTTGTTTCAATTATTACATGATACTAAGGAGATGTAAATATTTTCACATTATCATTGACGTGTTTAATGGAATTGTTATTGTGATAATAAAATAATGAAATAAATTGCTTTTGGCTTGTGATGCCTGATGGAACGGAAGCAAAACTGAAAACTAATAAATGAGATGAAATCTTTATTGAGGTTGGAATAGAAATTTAAAAAATCAGTTGTTTTTATATATCATCGAGCCATTTAAAAAAAATATATATATTTCTTTTACAATATATATCATCCATTTATGAAATGTTTCAATGTGAGATTTTATTGTTACAAAAATCAACCACAAAACTTTTTAAAAAGTCATTTTTAAAGCTTATTCAGCAGAATTACATTTTAAAGGCTTTCGTATTTTTAATGTTAAAATATTGAAAGTCATTGTTTTATTAAATTGGGAAAAACTATTTTGTTTTTTTACAATTTATCTCTCTACTTAAATTTATTCCTAAGAGCATGGCCAGGAACAGGTCAAGGCGACCTTTACACAGTTAAACACAAAGCATTAATATACATATAAACATATATTTTTATGAAAGAGTAATACTGTTCAGCCCATTACATTACCCACTAAGTAGCTTGTCCATTTATCAAAGTGCTACATGCCACTAAAGTTTCTCTACTGATCTTGAAATGTTTACACACATGTTAATAAACACATAATCAATGGAAAATATCAACACATTCTGGGCATTGTAGCACTCTTAAGTGATAAGACATTAAAATGGGAGCCACAAATAGAGTAAGTAAATATCATCTTGTGCAAGTGCATTTGGAGAAGTTTTAATAAATTAGTTTAGATTTTAAATAAAGGAATATAAAAATGCATGTTTTAAGTTTGTAAAGACTTATAAAAATTGTTCAATCATAAAAAGCATTGAAGCATTTTTTAAATGTTTTTTTTCTACTAAATTAATCAGAAAAGTTTTAATAAAGTATTTATTTTACTGAAACAATCCGAAGTGTTCGGAATAATGGCACTTGCAATGATAATTTTTGTTTCTTTTTATCCTGACTACGTTTTAATAATAATAGTATGACATGACACCCAAATAAAAAATTAAGTCAGTATATTTACATTGAAAGATGTTGTTTGAAAAGTTATAAATAAAAAGGGAGTTAAAAATAATTCTACACATAACACATATTATAGTTCAGCTATGCAAACATAAAAAAAAAAAAAAATCAACAGTATTAGAGGAGAGAGAATGTATACATTGCTGGGGAAAAAAAACTTTTGGGTTAAGATTTAGACAACATCTTGTACTTGTAGGATATATTTACATTGAAAGATGTTGTTTGAAAAGTTATAAATAAAAAGGGAGTTAAAAATAATTCTACACATAACACATATTATAGTTCAGCTATGCAAACATAAAAAAAAAAAAAAAATAAAAAGAATTAGAGGAGAGAGAATGTATACATTGCTGGGAAAAAAAAACATTTGGGTTAAGATTTAGACAACATCTTGTAATTGTAGACAAAAAAAAAAAAAAAAAAAAAAATCAACAGTATTAGAGGAGAGAGAATGTATACATTGCTGGGGAAAAAAAACTTTTGGGTTAAGATTTAGACAACATCTTGTACTTGTAGGCAAAAAAAAAAAAAAAAACAATTTAGAAAAATGTGCATGAAAATAAAAATCCTTTTACTACAGAAATTAGAATGGGGTGTTGCATTTCTAAACTCAAAAACAATATATTTAAAAATGTTTTTTTTTTAAAATTCCCACTGCCTGTTGTTATAAATCTGACATGTTTAAATTTAGTGATAATTCAAACTTGAATTAAAATATTCAACAATTATGCCTGCTTGCCAGGGCCATTGTTAAGCTAAAATTGCAGACTTCATCCTCTCAATCCCAGTGAGGGTCAAGTTGTGTTCTACTTGCGTTGTGCCTGGTGGGTTTAGTTTCTGACGCGTGCCCATGCACTGGTTGTCCAGGCGTAGGGACTGCGTCTTCAGAGCAATGTCATCATTCAAGCGGTGAAGATTCTTTTGCAGACCATCAAGAGCATGCCTGAGAGTTTCAAATAAATAAATGTATGAGAGGCAAGCAAAATACAAAGATGAGTTATAAATAAATAAAAATTAAATTTCAAATTATATTTTTTTCGTGAACGTTACTTTTTAAAAAGTAAGTCAGTTTATACTGGAAATTTGTTTAATTCATGAAATGAACCTGAAACGCAAGGAGTAATTTTAGATAATTACTTTAAAAGTTTTAAATAAACGTAAGAGATTTCTATGTGGCTGTCAAATTTTCTCAGACTATCAAAGTAGTAATGGGGCTCAGTAAGAAAAAATTTAATCCATATAGTATAAAGGCAGCAAACATTCACTATAATGGTCAACACAATTTAAAGATTTCTTTAATATATTATTTCATTTTCTTTATGTTTTCAATAAAAATTAATTATTTACTATTTTGTCTTGTTTTCTCTTAGTAAATGTTTCAACTTTATTGTACATTCCTTTGTGAAATAAATTAATTCTATGCCTTTCATATGTAAAAATAGGACTGCATCATATAAACAATTAGTACATATGTATGTGATTTGACACATTTTTAACAAAACATACCAGTTAGCCAAATTAAATGCTGAAATAGTTAAGATGGGGCAGTTACATCATTGAATTTGAAATGTGTGTTTTAAGAAAATGTAAAGACTTATGTCAACAAACTCCTGCCAAGAGTTTAATGTTCACTTACTGGGCTTGTTTGAGTTTCTCCTCCAAAGCATGTTTAGTGGCATATAATTGCTTGACTTCATCACAGAGGCCGTACTGGGCAGCATCACGACATAACTCTACATTGGGGCGGTATGTCCTGTTCTCAAGCCTAGTTTCAGCCTTTTTGGTAGGCCGGATTTTGTTTCTGATTGCTTCTTCAATGCCTCGAATATCATTCTCAATTTCTGCAATCTCCTCTTCAGTCTAGAAAAAAAAGTGGATTCCTTAAACATGCTGACTTGTACGTAAACAAACTATATAACTATTAACAAGCTTTGGCTGAAAATTACAGCTTTCTATGACAGATATGTCAAAGATCAAATCAATACATTTTGGGGCACAATTTAAACTAAAAATTAATTAAGAAAAATAACCTTTAAAAATCTGCATCTTCTATCCAAATTATTATTATTATTTATTTTATAACAAATTCCACTGAGAATATGCAATTTTTGGGTTAGCAGTTTGGATTAGATATTCTTACATTCTTCTTCTGCCACTCCAGCTCATCTTTTGCTCTTTCAAATTCATGGATCCTCTTCCTGAAAGCATATTCTGTGGCTTGTTTCTGTGCCTCCAAGTCATTGGCAGTTTGCTGTAGAGTATGGTGGATTTGCTCCCGAAGTCTGTTTGATGACTTCATCTCAGCATCAGCTCTTTCTTTGTTGTATCGGCTAAAATCTTCCCATTGCTGAGGGGTGGTACTTCTGTCATTTACATTGAAATCAATAATTATGTAATTTTTCAATGACATTAGGGTTCTTCTAGATTTCAAGGCAAGAAAGGCAGCATGGTTTAAATATACAAAAATAAAATTATCTTCTATATTTTTTGTTAAATGAAATTGTACAGGAAGTTGAAGACACATCTAGCTCCAGCCCCTTTGAATATATAAATTTCAAAAGCTTTTAAAAACAACTTATTACCCTTTAGGAACACGTAGAGGGTCAGGTTTGTAGCTGATGTTAGGAGATCTGTCAGACAAGTTGTACTGGTCAATGTCAATGCCAAGAGCAATGTTTTTATCCTGGAGATCAGCTTGTACTTGTTGCCTTGCTTCCTGAAGCAGACAAAGCTGCTCAAATGAGTCTGAGATCCTTTGCTGCAGGGTTTTCTTGATACCATCAATGACTTCAGCTTCCTTTTGATCAAATGAGAGAGTTAAACATGGAAACTTATGAGCACAATTATAGTGACTAATTATTAGAAGTTAATTCTTCATTTTAACAATAACGAGTCAACATAAAAGTTACCTTATGCAACTGATTTTCTGGCTCATCTTGTACAACATCAATATTTCTACGGCCTTCTCGTAAAGTTAGGCATTCAATATTAACATCAGTAGGTAGATTTTTAGCCTCTAATGACTGTTCTGTTAACTCTTTTGCTTCAGAGAGATCAGCTATTTCTTGATCAAGCTGACCTAAAGTTCTTTCAAGAATTTCCTTCCACTTTCTAATGTGATCAACTCTGTCAGCAAGCCTGACATCATTAGAATACTGATCCCACTTGGTCTGACTGTCTGTCTCATTGCGTAGAAATCTTGATTCTTGACGCACCTTAAGAATAGATACTTAAATAATAAGCAAATGAAAACATGAAATAGCTATGAGATTTTAGAAGTCTTTTAAAAAACATAAAAATATATGAACATAAACTTTTTTTTTCATTAAGTACCATAAGTAATGGTCTCAAATTTGATTTTCAAAAAGATCATATGGTGAAGATAAGAAAAAAACTGTGAAGCTTGAAATACAGATTGACTTGCCACAGACTGAGGAAACCAAAATGGAATATTATAAGATGATCCTTTGCATGAATCCACAGAGCAATAGAAAGACAAGAAGACCACAAAACACATGTAAAAAGGGTTTCAACAGAGAGAGTAAGAAAAATAAGAAGAAGTGGCTTGAGCTAGAAAAACAGAGATAGTGGGAAAGAATTTTTGAATGGCCAACAATGCATCACTAAGAGGAAAGATTGCAAAGAAGAACCATTCATACAGATAATTAATAAAAGTTCATCTTATTACAAAAATAAAAAAAAGAAGGTATTTAAACCATACCTCATGGGAAGCAGACCTCTGACGTTCAGCATTTGTTGACTGTGTGTATAGTTCTGTAAACCAGTCTGTTGGCTGATGCCTTACAACCTGTCTGACCTCTGTTGCCATGATTCTAATAATAAATTAAATCAAATATTTCAAATGCACATATTTATGGTTGGCAAACGCATTGTTATGATAATAAATTATTAGAATGTAGTGAAATAATTTAAGGATTTTTTGTCATTTACATACCGTACATAATAATTTGAAAATAGATTAATGATTACCAACGAGCAAAAATTCAATTATAAAATAAAAAGCAGTAGCATTTACAGGTTGAAGGAATCTCAGTTTACATTCTAAGCTTTAAAAGGAAAGATGGTAAAAATATTTATTTTTTAGATTTTTTATATAATGAATTGGTCTAGGAAATACCTTTTTTGGAATCCTATATAGGCCTACTATTACATCAGTTTTAGTAAAACTGTTTTAAATTTTTTAAACAGATTAGATAATTTTAAATTGAATTTGAAAACTTTATAATTTGTATAACAATTTTAGAGCCCTGAATATCAAATGATAAACAGGCTTACATAAATAAAACAAAATTGAAAAAATAGCCTCATCAATTATTGTAATAAAGACAGACATGCCCTCAATTGTATAATAATAATCATGTATATTTAATTAATAAAACTAATAATTGTACTTAGGACTTTGGTTGGTTACTATTTAAAAAAAAATATTATTACAAAATATTTTTTAAAGGATGTCAGATTATCCTAATAATCATGAATCATGTTAATGTTATGTCTAACTGAATTTAAATGAATAATGTGAATCTAATTTATAATCAGATCAGTTGTCCTATTTTATGCAATAATTGTGATTTAGGCGGCTTACTATGACAACTATATGAAGACAAGGTGTATTAAATTATAGTAGAGCAATAGAGTAATTAAAGTTAAAGTTTTATTTTATTCTCATCTCACTCTACTAAGTAATAAGTAAAGTACAGTAGCCCACACTACACTAAAACTAGTACAAAGCAAAGTCTACACACTAGTAGATAGTTTAGATGGGGCAAATACAAAAAAATACTATTTCATGCATAATGGGTATTATTAAGAGCAATGAGATAGTGAAATATCAGGTAGTTCTTTAAAATACTTGCAATTTATTTTTTCAGAGACCAGAATGAAGCAGAAAAACACGACACCACTGTGAATCGATGCGTTGCTACCTAAACAGCTCAACGCAGCACCAGTTATCAAACAAATTTTCATTGGTTAGCTTGCATTTAAATCTCCAATCAAATTTTGTTTAACTAAAGTTTGTCGTCATGGAGTCAAAGGAACATTTCCGGGGCATCTATGACGCGTTTTCCCAAAGATGTTTGTCCTAATTTTCTGTGCCTCCTAAAATTTTCCCCAAAATAAATACCGTACATAAAGTTGTAATATAATATAACTACAATAAATTATAACGCGAACGGGGTAATCTCCTGTATATATTAAGCTTCTGGTGTGACTCGTGGACTGCTTCCTTATGGACTGCTTCCTAATCAGCGATTTGTCATTGAGATTATATTATATAACAAATAATTCTGTTTGAAAGAACGAAGTGGATGCGTACACCGCGGCGGTGTACCTAGCGAAACCATCGGCTTTGGCCTGCGTAAACCGCGGCGGTGTACCTAGTGAAATCGTGGGCTTTGGCCTGGGTACACCGCGGCAAAAAATTTACCATTGGCCTGGTTTTAAGATATACTTGTTGGAGAGGATCTTGTGTGGTCAAGTGGTAGAGTGGACGCTTGGCGATAATATAGTTTGAGATCAATTCTCAGTAGGGGATCGAGTTTTTTTCCTCCCATTTTAGTTTTAAAATATTTTGTAGCAATTGAAACAATTTAAATATATGTTTAAATATTATATTAAATACACTTTATATATTTATTTATATATATAAGTGTTTCAACAAGTTGTGCCGGCCTTTGACTTTGAAAATACCGGTAACTTTAGTAATAAGACTTTAGACATTTGAAAACAAACTTAAAGTTTCTGAAAGCGCATGTAATA